GTACTGATAGACTTTGAGCATTGTTTAGGATAGTGCTGCTGGCTTGTGAATGCTGTGTAGTAAAGGCAGTTACTTTCAATAGGTTTTGATTGTGTGTCCAGTTATGGAGTTTTAGATCAGGGTCACGTGATCAATCATCTTCTAGGTTTAAATTATGGTTAATTATATCCTGAGTTGTGTGTTTGAATTTTAGTTCACTGATATCCTGTAGTTGTGGGAAGTTTGGACAAGTGTATAGCTATAGCATTTTGGTCATGTAGAGTATAGTCACTATTACCACATGATGGGAGTTGGTGTTGGTCTATTGTGTTGTGCTGGAATGAGCTAAAGTACAACTAGGTATAAACTTATAATATAAAAATACAAATTAAAAATAGCACAAGACTCTCACTTGTAATTGCACTATGGTCTAATATAATGAATTTGGTATTGACTATGTATTGAGCTAGAATGAGCTATAGTACAAGTGAGTTTAATCTAATGATATAAAAAAGGCACAAGACTCTCAATTGTAATTGCACTAAGGTGTTATATAAGTTGTTTACAAGAATTAGAGTATAACTAGATAATAATTGACGATTTGGCATCATAATACAGTGGGTGGGACTTATTCGTAGACTTACAGCCAACCAGGAACCCTGGAAATTTTGCCTGACGTAATGGAAAATTCCAGTTCTTGGGGAATGGCCGGGGATAATATGCTTCAAATAAAAACGCTTATTATAGCTTCTAAGCTTATTTATCTATCACAATTATATAATTTGACATATAACATATAAATAACAAAGAAATATGGTAATACTCAAGAATGAATAATAGTAGGGCATATTCCTCGAGCATTCCCACGGGAATATAAAATTCCCATAGTTAGGGATGGGGCTTTCATTTCTCTTCTTTCACCTCCAGGGTGCTTATATTAAGAAAACGGATATGGATAAACTATGATATGCACTATAATGCAGTTTAAAACTGAGAAATAATGTATTTTCTCAAAAAAAAAAAAAAAAAAAAAAAAAAAAAAAAAAAAAAAAAAAAAAAAAAAAAAAAAAAAAACGGGTTGGGGGGCTTTGGCTGTTTCGCAGGGAGGAATTATTTAGGAAGTAGGATATTCACATACAATATTTGCTATACTGTCATTAAACCTTTGACTGTTTTCGACGTATAAATACGTTCTTAACGACCCTATGTTTTTTTTTTTTTTCTGAGTAATTTATAATCATTAATTCTAGCGGCTTCAAATCAAGTGGGAGAAAAGTGGTAGCCCACCATGTGAGTGGGAATGGGGTCTGTGTGGTCAGTGTGCACCACGTAAAAAATCCTGCAGCACACATTGCGTAATGAGGGAAAAAAAAAAAACTGATCGTTTTTTTGGATTTAAAACGCCGACTTTGAGGTGTATTTTTCGTATAAGTATTTATCGTTGTATTCGGCGTTTTTCACTGGTCTTAGGTGATAAAATGGGAAAACATATTACAGAAATAGAGATGGTTTTCATTACTTTTACGGATGAAAACGACTTGAAAACTAAGCTCAATAATAGCGAAAATGTTCGATTTTTACCAATGTTGAAAGAGTAAATAAATTACACCACACGTCCAATACACGTCAACTATGGAGTCTTTATTCTTTCATAGTGCACTGATATTATTTATACCTTTTACATTAATGCCAGTCGTCTGCATAACAGTAAAATTTTGTATTTTTTTGTATGAATAAAAAATCAAATAGAAAGCAATAATTATATAAGAGGGGCCTAGAGATGTGTGGGACTAATGAACAGAGCATATGTTATTTTGTGCCACGAATGTTCTACATTGTTTATTCTGGACCTATTTTGAAATTGGCATCTTTTTTATTGGCGTAGAAATTGGCAAATTTGCCAATTTCTGACCACCCATATTGGGTTAGTCCAAATTAGTATATGGGAGGTTTTTGTACTCAGCTGGATAGAATAAAATGGAAGTTCTAAAGAAATAGCTATGAGTTTGTTCAACTGGAACAATGGAAAATGGCTGAAAATTGGGCTCAAAGTCGGCGAAATCGCCGATACGCATATGTCGCCGAGACTGCTAACTTCGCGGGACCATAATTCCACGAGTTTTCGACCAAATTTCGAACTTTTGGTGTCATTACCATCGGGAAAAGATTCTCTATAATTTCATAAGAAAAAATAATTTTTTTTTTTCAAAAATTGAGCGACATAGAATGACAGTTTCAGAGAGGGGCCTGAAACAGTCAAAGGGTTAATAATAGCAGGAATGCAATGAAATTCACAGACAACATAAAGGAAAGATTGTTTTACAAAATGATGTTTATCTTTTTGAGATATCTTAATTTATTTTTTTTTTGTTAGTGAGGGGCGCAAAAAGTCAGGATAATTTGCTGAATGTCTAAACCATACAAACTTTATTTTTTTTTTAAGAATGAAGAAAGGATAAATTACAGTAAAGCTAAATATGATAAATAGTGTTTAGCATTGTTTTATGCGTAGATAATGCCAAAACAGCTTCTCCATGTCCCACATCGACGGTACCTTGCATTATGTATGATTATTAGTAAATAATTTTTTTCTCAGTTGTTTTTTGAGCTATCTTATTGAAACTTGGTCACATTACAATGGAAAGGTGCTTCTTTACGTACAAAAAAAAAAAAATGAAAGAAATCAAATGAAAAATAAAGAAGTTCAGGTGCTAAAGTTTGGTGACACCTAAAGGAGGTTTTGTGGGCGAGGGGCTTGGACTTGCAGCAAGTTTGCATGAGCGTGTTAGATAGGAGTGAATGGAGACGAATGGTATTTGGGACCTGACAAGCTGTTGAGTTTGAGCAGAGTAATATTTAGTGAAGGGATATAGGGAAACCGGTTATTTTTATACAGCCAGACTTGAATCCTGGAAATGGGAAGTACAGTGGACCCCCGGTTAACGATTTTAATCCGTGCAAGAGGGCTCATCGTTATGCGAAATAATCGTTATGCGAATGAATTTTCCCCATAAGAAATAATGGAAATAAAATTAATCCGTGCAAGACGCCCAAAAGTATGAAAAAAAATTTTTTTTACCACATGAAATGTTAATTTTAATACACACAAACTGAAAAAGGCATGCACAATTACATGACACTTACTTTTATGAAGATTCATGGTGATGATGATGGGTGGGAGGAGGGTTGAGAGAGCATTATCTCTTATTACTGTTTAGAAGGGGAATCCCATTCCATTAGGACTTGAGGTAGCAAAGTCCTTTTCTGGGGTTTACTTCGCTTCTTCTTTTAATGCCACTTGGACCATCTTGAAGAGTCACTGACCTCTGTCGCACAACAAATCTGTCCTTAGTGCTCTGTATCCTCACCGTTCCTTCAAGACTTTTAAAATGGGCCATAACATTGTCATTGAATTAGTCACAAGCCGGCTTGCAACAGCAGTGTCAGGTGATTTTCATTTAAGGTTTGCAGTTCAACCCACTCTGCCACATTTCCTTAATCTTTGAAGTAGGCACAATGGATTCCACAACTGGCATAGGCTTCTCAGGGTTAGCCCCAAACCCTTCAAAATCTTTCTTAATTTCCATACTAATTCTCACCCTTTTTACCACAGGGTTGGCACTAGAAGCTTTCTTGGGGCCCATGGTCACTTATTTTCCAGAAACAGCACCGAAAATACTGTAATAATACGAAATATTCCGAGTGTATGCTTGGATGTTACCGCGGAGGCTGGCTGGTAAACAATGGGACGGAGCGGCACATGTGAGGCTGGCTGAGGGCACATTGGACGCGTCTCGGACGAAAATCGGTATGCGGGTTTTTAATCGGTATGCGCGGCAAAAATTTTGCGATAAAAGTAATCGTTATGCGGAAAAATCGTTATGCGATGCCATCGTTATGCGGGGGTCCACTGTACAATGCCTGCACTTTAAAGGAGGGGTTTGAGATATTGGCAGTTTGGGGGGATATGTTCTGTATCTTTATACGTATATGACTCTAAACTGTTGTATTCTGAGCATATCTGCAAAACCAGTGATTGTGTGTGAGTGAGGTGAAAGTGTTGAATGATAATGAAAATATTTTGGGAGGGATTTTCTTTCTTTTTTGGGCCACCTTGCCTCGGTGGGATACGGCCGGTGTGTTGAAAGAAAGAAAGAAAGAAATTTATTTTAACGTTCCTGGCCATCTCCCAGTGAAGCAGGGTGACCCAAAAAAGAAATGCTTTCACCATCATTCAACACTTTCACCCTCATTCACACATTATCACTGTCTTTGCAGAAATGCTGAGATACAACAGTTTAGATGTCACTCCAAACAGTAAATACCCCAAATCCCTCCTTTAAAGTGCAGGAATTGTATTTCCCACCTCCAGAACTCAAGTCCAACTAACCAGTTTCCCTGAATCCCTTCACAAAATATTACCCTGCTCACACTCCAACAGCTCATCACGTCCCAACAACCATTCGTCTCCATTCACTCGTATCTAACACACTCACACATGCCTGCTGCATGTCCAAACTCCTCGCACACAAAACCTCTTTTACCCCCTCCTTCCATACTTTCCTAGGATGACCTCTACCCCTCCTCCCCTCCACTACAATTTTATACACCCTCCATGTCATCCTATTTTGCTCTATCCTTTCTCAATGACCAAACCACCTCAACAACCCCTCTTCAGCCCTCTAATAGTTTTAGCAACTCCACACCTTCTAATTTCCACACTATGAATTCTCTGCATAATATTTACACCACACACTGTCGTTAGACACGACATCAACACTGCCTCCAGCCTCCTTTTTGCTGCAGCATTCAAAACCCATGCTTTACATACATATAAAAGTGTTGGTACCACTATACGTACTCTCATACATTCCCTTCTTTGCCTCCATGGATAACTTTTTTTGTCTCCACAGATACCACAATGCAGTACTCACCTTTTTTCCTTCATCAGTTCTATGGTTAACCTCATCCTTCATAAACCCATTAAAGGCTATTATTATTTATATACAAAATTCAATTACCTGTCCTAAGACCGAGCTTCCAGTTTTGCATCTGTCTTCTTCCAAACATTCAAGCAGTTTGCGATGCTCCATTTCTCCAAGAACATGTGATGGACGTGCTTTCCTCTGCACCATGCTCTTGAACTGCAATTTTTGCATAAATTTAATTGGTTTCTTTCATTCAGAATAAACTATTACAAGAGATTTAACTATTTTTTTTTTATCAAATTGTAGATGAAACAAAGAAAGAATATGTTAATCTAATAAAAATATATATGAAGTATATCCTAAGTAAGAATATGTTTATCTAATAAAAATATATATGAAGTATATCCTAAGTAGTAGGTTGGTAGATAGCAATCACCCAGGAAGGTAATACTGTGTGAGCGTGAAACAGAAACCTGTAATTGTTTTATATGATGGTAGGATTGCTGGTGTCTTTTTTTCCATCTCATAAGCACGTGGGATAACAGGTATATGTTGGTACTTCTACTTACACTTAGGTCACACCACACATGTATGTACACACATATACAGGGTGTCCACAAAAACACTCCCTGATTTCAAACACGTATAACATGTAACTTTATTGTGATAATCTGTAAGTGGCCTGCAAGGGCACTGGACCTAACTGTTTGTAACTTCTTTTCTTGGAGGTACGTGAAGAGCACAGTTTATGTACCACCACTACCTGCAACCCCTGGAGGAACTGAAAATTTCGATCACTGAAGCAGATCGCATGATAACACCAGATGTGCTGCAGAGCATCTGGACTGAACTGGACTATCGCATCAATGTTTGCCGAGCAACCAAAGGGGCGCACATTGAGTGCCTTTAATGCTACCAATACCACATGAAACTGAATGAAATCCTACATCTGAAGCTACTAACTATGAAAGATTTTTACAATAGTTATATATTATACCTGTTTGAAATCAGGGAGTGTTTTTGTGGCTACACTGTATATTTACACAACAATCTGGGTTTTCTTCTATTTTCTTAATAGTGCATGTTCTTCTTTATTTCTTCTTTTCTCCATGGGCAACTGGAACAGATTATTATTATTATAATCAAAAAGAAGCGCTAAGCCACAAGGGCTATACAGCGCTGCAGGGTAGGGAAGGAAGCGAGGGTATTGGATGGCAGAAGGGAGAAGGGATGATCAGCAGGTTACAGAAAACAGCGGGGCAGGGGATAGTACGGGGGTAGAGGGTAGCAAGAGATTGAAGTAGAAAGGGCTGAAGGTATCAGAATTTGTGAAGTAAGTCAATTGTTGTCAAAAAGTCAATGAGAGAGTCTGGATGAAAGGTGGGTCCATCAGCGAGAAGGGAAGGTAAAGAAAGAGCAGCGGAGCGAAGACGACGACAGAGGTAAATTCTGCGTGCTCGTTGATAAAGTGCGCAGTCCAAAAGAATGTGGCTGACTGATAATGGAGCTTGGCAATTCTCACAGAGAGGAGCAAGACGCCTCTCCATGAGATATCCATGAGTGAGACGAGTATGGCCAATGCGAAGACGGGAGAGAGTAGTCTCCCAACCTCGACACTGGTGATAAGAAGACGGCCAGTAACCTATACTCGGTTTAATAGATCGAAGTTTGTTGCCGAGCATAGTAGACCAACGTTGTTGCCAACGGGTGTGAAGGTGGGAAGATATTGCAGCAAAATAGTCCGTAAATGGAATACCTCTATAAGAAACTGGTAGGTCATGTACTGCTGACCGCGCAGCAGTGTCTGCCTGTTCATTGCCCTGTACGTCAACATGACCAGGGACCCAACAAAAAACAATATCTTTATGCTTGGTAAAGATGCGGGTAGCCAAAGTTGGATACGGAGGACTAAGGAGTGAGGTTTATCAAATTTTTTTATAGCCTGTAAAGCACTAAGGGAGTCTGAGACAACCACAAATGATGACACAGGCATAGATGCAATACGGATAAGTGCTGTAAGGATGGCATATAATTCAGCAGTAAAAATACTAGCCGAAGATAGTAAATGCCCTTGTACGACGCTGTCCGGAAACACTGCTGCGAATCCTACGCCGTCAGAAGACTTAGAGCCATCTGTGTACACAGCAATGGCATGAGAATGAAGTGAAAGTGGTCAAGAAAAAGAGAGCGGGAAGCGACCGTAGACAGTTGGGGCTTTCGAGCAAGGCAGGGAGAAAGAACAGACTCGAACAGCTGGAACTTCCCAGGGGGGTAGGGAAAAGTGAGATGCTACATGTACATAGAAAGGTGGTAGTTGAAGAGAAGACAAGAGCGAATGAAGGCGAAGAGAGAAGGGACGGAGTAAACGGGGGCGGCAAACAAATAAAAAATGCCTACTAAAATCAGTGACCATTCCAAAAGGGAAAGGGTTTGCGGAATCTGAGACGTACAAATACGCGGCAAGGGGCATCACGGCGATCGGTAAGGATGGAACTTCGTTTCTGAAAAGAGGCTCTTGACGGGGGAAGAGCGAAAAGCCCAAGGCATAAACGTAACCCCTTGGTATAAGGGGTTAAGGCTGGGAAGAGTAGCAGGAATCCGCTGAAAAGATCGGGTCACCATAATCAAGTTTCGAAAAAAATAAGGGGGAATGTGGCGAAGAGGGTTCGACGACAGCTCCCCTGAAAGATGACAAGGGTTTAAAAAGGTTCAGCCGGCTGGCAATTTTGCCTTCAAGATAATGTGAGTTTCCAGGAAAACCTATGACAAAAGGGGGGCCCAGAAATTTGACTGTACCCCTTGGGGGATAGGGGAGCCATAAGGTACAAAGGATGATCGGGATGACAGAGCGTCTAGTGAAAGTAATTGGGGGTTAGTGCGGAAAATTTAAAACCCACTGTGTAGCCCAATTAAAAACACGGGACTGCATGTTGGAGAAAAAATGTAAAGGTACGTCACGCCTGCACAGGCAATAGCGAAGTCATAACAAGAGTGATGACCAAATATTTGATGGAAACTAGAGGCCAAAACATTAATGCAAGGAAAAAAGTGTTGTGCTCAAACCATCCCGGGGGACACCTTCAGCTTGGATAAAGTCCCGGGGGAGCACATTTTTAACCCGAACCGGGGAAAAGCCTGTCGTTAAAAAGTTCTTAAAGGGAAAGGGTGGGAGATTGCCTCAAAGGCCTAAGGAGTGGGGTTGGGCTAAAATATTATACCTCCAAGTTGTTCATTGCCCCCAAAGGGCAAAAAAAAAGGCAAAAACGATGGTTATTTGCAAAAGGCATTAGAACAAAAGTACCAACTAGTAAGGGGTCATGTAAACGTCCCTACGAAAGCCATATTGAGGGTGGAGAACTGTTGTTTCTCAAAAACCCACCTAAAGGGTTTTTTTACACTTTCCATTACTTTGCAAACTGCACTGGAAAGCAATGGACGATGTGGGGGGTTTTCATGTCCCGTAGTGCCTGGTTTGGGGAAAAGGGGAAAAACAATGGCGGTTTTCCACAGCTTGAAGAACTCCTTGTGACCAAATAAGATTGTAAAGGCGTAATAGACGCAAGGGGCTGACTGATGAAAATGTTTTAGCATACGAAAAGGGGTTCGTCGGCCCAGCTGCCAGATCGAAAAGCGAGAGTGGCCTCCATTTTTGAAGTGAAAAAGGCACATTATACTGTTCTTCTCGGGAAGAAAAAAATCCAAATTTGCTAACCTCTGGAAATTTTGGGAAAGGGAAATGAGGGGCATAATGGAGTCCCGAGAATACGGACCAAATATTCCCAAATTTTTCATGCAACATCTAGTGGTTTGCTATATCACCCGGCAACTCGCAGAACGGGACCCGGGGTCGGGAGAATATTTACCACCAGTTTTTCGTATTTTTTTCCAGACTGCACTAAAGAGGAAGAAAGGGGGGAAGGGTGGAGACAAAACTCGCCAGCAAGTTTTTTAGCATCACGGTGACCGGCAGCGTTTGCCCTTCTTTTTAAAAATAAAGGATCTCTCGGGGTTTCTACTGTCCCGTACCTGCCCTGCAACGCTTTCAAATTTGCATGAGCACAAGCAGGAGACCACCAACATGCATTCTGAGAATCCCCTGCCCAAAGTTTGGGGATAGAATGAAAGCGGGGTGAAAAAAAGGGGCAGAAGGGGTTTAAAAAGCTCATCGAGGGAGGACGAAAAAGGAACCTCTTTAAAAACTTTTAGGTTCCATTTCCCCAAAAATTTGCCAGCGGGGGTGCGAAGAGGGGGCGAATAAAAAGGGAAGTAAAATGTTTGGGGAAAGATCACGCCATGTAAGCCCGGGGAAAACAGACCAAGTGAAGTCTAATGCGGGGGAAAGCAACAAGTCGTGCAAGAGAGAGTAGATCCGGGGACAAAATGGGTGTAGTACCTGTATTTAAAACAGGAGGGGTGGGTGGCAAAAAAGCCTCAACTAAATTTCCCAAAGGGAATCACAGTGAGACCCCCCCAGGGGAAATAGTGGGCATTAAAATCCCCAAGTAACAAATCGGGGGCGGTAAAACGAAACGGGAAGGCAATATCCGGGAATAGAAATCCCGAGAAGGAGAGAGATAAAAAGAACAGGCAACCACCTATGTAAGTGGATACGGGCTGCTTTTAAGCAGCGAAGTATGAACAAATGCTGTGGGAAAGGAATACATCGTAAAAAAGGGCACTTTCATTAAAGGCCCATCAGGAAAAGGATCTGAAAAAATACAAAAAATTATACCGAGATGGGAGAAATAACAGCAAACGTAATTTTGGTTCCCGTAAGCAAACACCAAGGGGCAAAAGGGGATAACCTAAGCTCCCCCGATTTTCCCCTGGGCCGCTAATTCCACGTAAATAGGCCATGAGGGGGGGAAGAAAGATACTGAAACCCAGGTAAGGGTTCCTACGGACTAGAGGGGTTGAAAAGTCCACAAAGCGGAGGGAGTGGGAAAAAGTTCAAGCACGAAGGAACGGGGGCCTTGAAAAAGGGGTTCGCAATGGGGCAGAGGAAGAGAAAGAGCGGAAGGTGATCATGTCCTTGATGGGTTTGGGCTCTGCAAAATATTCCCGAGATTGCTTCAAGTGTTTCTAATTCAGAAAACGTCTATGGGGGAAAAATTGGAAAATGGTAAGGGGGGGGAGAGAAAGATTGAAATGTATTGGACTGACCAAGGTAGGGGGGGGCGAAAGGGGGGGGGGAACTGGAAACGTGGCAGAGGACAGAAAGGGAGGGAAACCCGGAGGGG